CAAATACTAATAGTTTTGGTAGAGAAGATCGGACAGATTTCGCCAAGGCAAGCTGGGCAGTCGCCTATTGCTCCTATTCCAGATAACCCACTGTACCCTGTCTGAAAGGAAGTAACGCTAGAGTAGACTCGCGAAAAGTGTATAAGACACTTTTAAGATCAACTAAATAGCTAAGCCCAAGGGAAGTCGTTCGGGGAGGCCCTCCCTAATTCCACAAGGGTGAGAAGAAAGAAACACGATAACGAAACGTTGAATCATGTAGAAGACGTAGGGTAAATGCGAAGCAAATTAGGAAGAATATGCAGTAAGCTAAGCGAAGAGGTAAGCAAGAGACATGTTAGACTACACTACTAAAAAAAAATAAAGAACATGTTAGTAGGTACTACTGCTACAAAAAAAAATAAAAACATCTACAATCAAAATTTAACTCAAATAAAATAAAACAAAATAAGCATGCAAAATAAAAATTAATTGAAATAAAATAAACTACAGAAAACATGCAAAATAAACAATTAATTTGAATAAAATAAACTTCAAGAATTAATTCTATTAGATAGAGCATGCAAGATAATGAACTAACTACGCATCTTATTTGTCTTCTCCATCGTCGATCTGAAACAGATAGGGTGGTAACAGATTAATAAAGTGCCATTAATTATAATTAATTATATCAAGTATTCTCACCTTAATTAACTGTAGACTGTAAGCAAACAAAATCCAGGAGGACTACCACATAGCCGAAAATTTGTTGTTTCAGTGGAATATCTCCAGTTGCTTTCCCTCGTCGGTTGACAATTACGTGTATAATGTTGCAAGGTGACGATGAAAATAGGAAATCAAGAATATAGTCCAGGAAAGACGATATCCATGTGAATACCACCAAGTTGAACTTTATTCTTTCTCATTTGTTGGATAATCTGCAGAAACGGACAAAAACATATATCAATTAAGGATATTACACTCCAATATAAAAACGATATGAAATACAAGAAAAACACGCTACGAAAGACACATTTAAACCAGCTTATAATTTAAAAATGGAAATATACATCTCTTTTGGATAAAATTGAATAGTTTTCTTCTGTTTTTAATACTAATGCCAAATTATAATGTTCATTTATGAAAACTGAAAATAAATACCAATATCATTTATTTCTATCACATTTTTAAAGTTACAAATGTAGAAGGAGTTCAGGCTTCTAGGATAATTTAATATCACAACTACTACCTTTAATGAAAATTGTTACCTACCGATACTTTTTCATTAAGTCCTTCTTTGGCAACAATTACTGCTTGCACTACCAGTGGAAAGAGAAAAAGGCACTTTTGCCCATCCATCAGGTCCCGCCATTATCTGGAATGAACGGCCAGTTGCTTTCCCTCGTCGGTTGACAATTACATGCATAATGTTGTAAGGTGACGATGAAAACAGAAAATCAGGAATATAATCCAGGAAAGACGATATCCATATAGACAATGGTTGTGTGAGCACTACCAAGTTGAACTTTATTCTCTCTCATTTGTTGGATAATCTGCAGAAACAGAAAAAAAACATATATCAATTAAGGATATTATATTCCTATATAAATACGATTTGAAACACAACAAAACACCCACCAAAAAATATGAATATAGCGGAATTATAAAAAATTAATTCCTGTTGGTTAGAACATGCTAGATAAAGAACTATTTTAACTGCGAGAACTCCTTGTCTTCTCCACCTTCGATTTGAAACAGGTATGATGGCAAAATATTGGTAGAATGCAGTTTTTAATTAACTTTAATGTATTCTCACCTTAAGTAATTGCGGAGAATGTATGCTTCAAAGATGAATCAGCCAACAGAGCAGGAAGAAACGTAGCTCACGATCAGTGTTGTTTCGGTGGAATCGAAAATGCTTTTACTCGTGATCGAAGATTAACTGAAGACGAATAAAAACCAAACGAAGTCCATGAATAACGATATCAGTGCAGACAATTGTTTTATTCTTCGACCAATCTGTGGAAATGCACAAAAAAAATAGAATTACTGCGCTATTAAATTCACAAGAAATAAAATAAAACGAAAAGGCACCTAAAGTAAAATTACATTTGCCAAAAACTTACAATTGGATACACAATGGATGAGTTACAGCGAGAATTATAAGTCTCCTTTGCTTAAAAATTAAATTTTTGTAATTAAAGTTTTTCATACTAGTGTTAAAATATAATATTCATTGTTGAAAACTGAAAAAAAACAACGTTATCATTGATTTCTACTATCACAATGGTTGACATTCCTAAAAGATAAGTTACAAATGTCGAAGGAAGATAATTCAACATCACATCTAATATCTTTAATGAAAATCGTTACCTACAGGCACTTTTTCATTCGGTCCTCCTATGGCAACAGCGTACTGCTTGCATTACAAGTGAAAAAGAAAAAGGCACTTTTGCCCATCCATCAGGTCCTGCTATTATCTGGAGTGAAAGACCAGTGCTTCTTAACGGATGGCTTCCAGAGTTTTAGTAACCGGTCAGGATATGACGCCTAGAAACGAAACTTTTTTATTAATAAACCACAAAAAGTATTATTAAGCTTAAAGAGGGAAAAGTAAATGTCGGCTAGTTAGGTACGTATTGTATAAGAAACCAATCTTACGAGAAAAAGTATTCGGTTAATTAAATCAAAAGTTGCGAATAAAATCTCTTACAACTACACACCGCGATAGACTGGCAACATACTGACAATAACCACGCGGATCAGGCTTTCAGGATCTTGCGATGGCTACAACATGAAGCACCGGTGACGCGGAAGCCCAACTCAGAAGGTATCTACGACGGTTCGCGGCAAATATTTTACAATTTAACCAATCCTGTAGCTAGTTTCTCCCCCGTCTCATAATTTGAAATTATGTGAAGGTTTTACTTCATGCAAGTTCCATCGCCTGACCACAACTCTGAAAATGATTGAATCCATGAACGAGAAAGATGGTGAAGGATTGAAAATGAATAAGGGAACGAGTTGTTCTTCTTCCTAATTAATTAGTTATTTATTTAAGGGTTAGACACATAGTGAACACAACAATTCTCACGCAANATATAATTTAATAATTTAAAGATACTCTGTAATGTGCAGAAACCAGAGTTTCCTAGAGGAACAACTAAAAAGTTATAAACGGGAATCATTCTCTAATTTTCCACCTTTAGAGGTGGAATACTTCTTTCAAATTTCAATGGGACCACTCTTGAAAAATAGTCTATCAAATAAAAATAAGCCTCTATAGGAAATTTCTGTACATATATTGAAAATAATAATACACACTGTATTAACAGTATTAGAAAATTTAGGTATTGAAAAAGCTTTACATAATAGTAAGCGTTTAGTAAAAAACAAAATTACAATTTGTACAAATTTATTATTTAAGGGTAGAATCGAATTTTGAAATTGATTTTTCAACAATGACCCCAACTATAAAAAACTGACTGATAATACATCATCCCCTAAGCATATTAAATGACTGTAAACGTGCTGAATAAAAACGAAAATTAAAAATGAATAAAACATGATGTAAAGTAGATCACTAAAAATAGGTGAAATAGGGAATGAATGAAAAACGTGATTCGGGGCTTACGGAAATGATGTACAGAAGTCAAAACCATCAAAAACCATAGCCGGTTAACAATGCAGAATGACATTCAACTGATTTGAGTAATTTTTATTCCAGATATAACAAATGAAATTTAGGCACGATGAACAGCAGCTTGGAGCTATTACTAGTTACTGAGAATAAAATACTTTTCCAATATTCAAAAAACATTTTTTTTGAAATTAAAATATGTCGTAGTAGTAGGAAAAACCTATTCGCGGGAATTTTTCGTAATGTTTATTTAACAGGAAATCCAATGTACCTATCTATTAACAAAAATATTCTAGCAACTAAAAAAAATGTTTTATTGTGCGCGGAGGTAAATTATAATTCTTTTTGTCATATGTCCCTTATATATTACTGATAATGATGGCATGAGTTTTTTTAATTTGTTAAATCCACGCATGGTTACCTACTTTTTCGAGTTTCTTAAGATCGAACGTCTTTTACGCTAGTGCAGTTCACTTATTTTAAGTCCAATTTAAAATCCCATGGAAACATCAAAAAGTACAGTTCCAGCCGCAACCAACCAATGCCTCAAAAATTTCAAACAATACATTTTAACATGACAAAACTGCACGCAAAGTTACCTATTTTTTCGAGTTTCTTTAAATCGAATGTCTCTTTACGCGTCTGCAGTTCAATTAGCTTAAATCAAAATAAAAATCCCATGGAACCATCAAAAAGAGCATTTCCTGGCACAGCCAGCTGATGCCGCAAAAATTCCAAACAATAATTTTTAACATGTCAAAACTGCACGCAAAGTTACCTATTTTTTCGAGTTTCTTTAAATCGAATGTCTCTTTACGCGCCTACAGTTCAATTAGCTTAAATCAAAATAAAAATCCCATGGAACCATCAAAAAGAGCATTTCCTGGCACAGCCAGCTGATGCCGCAAAAATTTCAAACAATAATTTTTAACATGTCAAAACTGCTCGCAAAGTTACCTATTTTTTCGAGTTTCTTTAAATCGAATGTCTCTTTACGCGTCTGCAGTTCACTCATATTAAATTCAAATGAAAATCCCATGGAACCAGAAAAAAGAGCATTTCTTGGCGCAGCCAGCTGATGCCGCAAAAATTTCAAACAATAATTTTTAACATGTCAAAACTGCTCGCAAAGTTACCTATTTTTTCGAGTTTCTTTAAATCGAATGTCTCTTTACGCGTCTGCAGTTCACTCATATTAAATTCAAATGAAAATCCCATGGAACCAGAAAAAAGAGCATTTCTTGGCGCAGCCAGCTGATACGGCAAAAATTTCAAACAATAATTTTTAACATGTCAAAACTGCTCGCAAAGTTACCTATTTTTTCGAGTTTCTTTAAATCGAACGTCTCCTTACGCGTCTGCAGTTCGCTCATATTAAATTCAAATGAAAATCCCATGGAACCAGCAAAAAGAGCATTTCTTGGCGCAGCCAGCTGATGCCGCAAAAATTTCAAACAATAATTTTTAACATGTCAAAACTGCTCGCAAAGTTACCTATTTTTTCGAGTTTCTTTAAATCGAATGTCTCTTTACGCGTCTGCAGTTCACTCATATTAAATTCAAATGAAAATCCCATGGAACCA